CCTGGTTTTAGGGACATATTAACCACTACTCGCTGGTAAACATTACTTCAAAAGGACTTGGTTTGTTCGACTTAATTTGATTTAATAAATGCTACATTTGAATCTTCTAATCTGTGAGACACATTATCGCTCTGTGCGTCATCGTAAGCCTGCATGTCTGCTCGCCAGGATTGGGAGGTGCGGCCGTACAACTCCGTGTGCAGCGACCGTACAAACAGTGACCAATCATCAACCTCTGTTTAACCTAATCCCCCATCCTGATCATGGGTAGCTCCCCCGTGTACACTTTATCCGCAATACTCGAACTGAGTAAACGTGCTCCGTGCTACACGTCTGTTTCCTTTATAGCTGGGCTATAGCTTAGCTGGTTCTGGGAGTCTAGCTAGATGTTTGAGAATCTGCCATAGAGATTTCTGAGTCGGTCAGGCTTTAATAAGGTAGCAATCCGCTACAAATTCAAGCAATTACTATTCAGATTGTTTCTAGCAAGTGGCAACCAGTAGTTTAGGCTATTGGTATAAAGTTAATCATTTTACTAAAAAATAGATTTGAGTTTAAAATAGATGTAAGCAATTATCGCAACTAGATGTTAAGAAATCGTAAGCCATGTTTATTCCCTAAGGTAGCTATCCTGCATATTGATAGACAACTAATTGAAAATCGACTTGAGTATCATGTGCCAGGAGTAATTGAATTAATTGCTGATGGTATTAAATTCTAGTAGGTTAAGTCGGAGAATCAAAGAATAAGTGGTTGAGTAAATAAGCTTTGGTATAGCTCCTTATCTACGTACGAATTACGTTATCTGTTTTATCGTATAAGGACATTTTGTTTTCTCCGCCTTCGAAAGGAAAAAAGCAAACTGACTAAGCAATACCAAATAGCCCAGTACTTTATCAAATTTGATGCTTAGAAAACGAATTTAAAACAAAGGAATTGAGGCGTTTTTGGCATTTTGGTTTGACTTTCAAAATTCCGAACCATTTATAATGCGTATTCATAGTATTTAAATTATTATCATTTGACTAAATTCAGCTTTTTAGACGGTAAGTCAATTTTGTATTCTTCGGCCTTGCTTTCTTTCAATATTTTGTGTTAATATTTAAATATTACAAGTTATAAAAACTTACTTTAGAAAATTCCCTTGTTTAAGCAGATAGGTCATTTACAGGAGAGGGGTAGTGTGCATAGTCAAGGGTTTATATTTTTAGATTTCAAGAAAATGTTAAATTTTACGAAATATTTCGGTTGGTTAGCGACATGCAGCAAAGAAGAGGTGGCTATTTTAATAATCATTCAATTATATTGTATTGCTTCCACCTTCAAATCGGACATCTGGTTTCTACATTGGCAACCACTTGGGCTTGAATACAACACATATTAAAAGCTTTTATATGAAATAACTGATGTTCTTATTTCTCCATTTACATGATAAGTCCATTCGTTCTCTTTTGAATTTCAATGCTTTAAAAGATTCTCCGTTATCAAACTGACAGTGAATACAATCGATAATTGTATAAATAGTCCTTAAGTATAAACTATTAGTGCCACACTTACTGCTTCACTAATTTGAAACAACGACGTATCAGTGTTACTATGACTCTAAACGTAATCGTTTTTAAAACAAATTTTGGAATTACGAGAAATTAACACGCCTTCTTGAAACTATCTGCAACTTTTCTATTTTCATTTCAAAAAAACAAAGCAATTTCAATGCACTCATTGATCAGCATTACTATCACTCTAGCGTTCAAAGTAGGTCAATTGGAGAGACTTCATAAAAGGGAATTCAGAGATAGCCTTCTAGAGGTTGTATTTGTACTCAAAATCCAACCTTGTTGACGGGAGATGGTTACCGCTGCCTGCCTTTTACTTCAAACAAATCAAAATTAGCAATATGCTGCACTTCGTGCCAGACTCGCTGTAAAATGTGCCTTAAAGTAAAACAAATTTAGAATAAGCAAGTTGATGAACTAAAAGTTCCACTTGTTTGTATCTCGTATATTGGTCATGATTACGCTGCCTATTGGTTAACATCCAGCAAGTGGAGTAGTGTCAATAAACTAAAGAGAAGAATTCTAATTTCCAACTAGGGTGTAACTCCTATTTGCTATTTTGTCCAAGATAAAATGAGTTTAGGAGTTTATGCATTAATTCATTTTTTCCAATTGATATGGTGGCACGATTGAGAGCTAATTAGTTAGATAAACTAAATGTCATCATTTCGAGCAATAAAGTAGACAATTCAGAAAGTTTGACTGGCACCTTAAGTGAATCAACCAATTTTTTACAACTTACGCTGACGATAGCTAACGAAATCTATATTCTTCGGACTGTAGCTAATAACGGGTTTCGGTGCCATAGGTGGGGGAGTGTTTCCATTGAATTTATTCTGGCTTTCATTTTTTTTATCTTCTACGCCAGTTTCTCCATTTGTGGTACTTGTGCCGTTGCTTTGATGATTTCGAGAAAGTAGAATGGTTGATGATGGTGGTGGTGGTGCAGGTGGCAAATTTGTATCATCAATTCGTCTTCCATCGAGTCTCGGGGGTCTCAGACTACTACCCAGTTTCCAGCCGTCTATTGAAGTTGCAGCTGCCGATTTAGAATTCGATTGAGTTGAGGTTGTACCATTGGTGTTTTCGGCAGCTACTGTTTCAGAGGAGGTTGCAGGAACATTATCATAGAGTCGGGGTTGGTGGGAGTTTCCATTTACTTCAGGATCTTTAAGTTCTCCAGTGGGAGTTGATGATGACGAATCGATGGATCTAAGCGTGTCTCCATTGGATGTCGCCTCTTGGGTGGTCTAGTATAAAAAGCGTGTTACTTATAAGTACTAAGTAGTGTATTTGCCAATATTTGGTGTAAATATATGAATGAATAGGCGGACATTAAGAGGCAATATTTTTCACATTAATTACGTTCAAGTCAACCAAAATTTAAAAATAGTTTAAAACTGCAAATTTGGATATATCACTTTAATGTTTGTGCTCCCAATGTTAGATATTATTGAAAATTTTTACAATTCTAAAGGGCGTGTTTTTAATAGCTGTTGAAATAAAGATTTATGATATATAAAAAATGAAAATTAATTTAAACGTAATAGCGGAAATATTAGGGTAGGGCTATTCAGGATTAAATTAACTTCCTAAGCATGGACCGCAAAAACTCTAAGTATCTTTCTTCCAATTAATAAAAGTAACATTACTCTCCTTCCCCTTTAAATGCGTGATTTTGCTAGAAAATTAAAATTTACAAATACTTATTTTTATTTAAATTTACTATAGCTATGGGATTGAAAAAGTGTTTGATAAATTATAAATGTGCACACATGGAAAAAATATAATACGTGTTAAGGAAATGTGAATTCAAAACATACGGCCTTTCCAGGTAAGGCGACGAAAACTCCGTTACTCTCTTCTAACGATTTATCCATCGTCTTCTGGGGTGCCAAAGCTGAATCCGTTTCCTGGACTTCTTCACTCTGAGAGGAATTTTTATCCAGTGACTCTTCAAGTTGCCTTCTGGCTGGCTGAGATGAGGCTCTCTTGAAATGTCCCACTGACCACCAACTACTGCTCACGCTTCCATTCGTGTTACTTGTCCCTCTAGGAACACCCTTTGGACTTGGGGTTCTGTTGCCAATTTTTCCCATAGCCTTAACGGTTCCTCCGTCAAAAGAAGAGTTCTTGGAAGGAACTGGTGGTGGAAGCAGACTAGCTGGCCCAGATTCGCTTGAAAAGCTGTGTTTTTGAAGCATCTGCTGACGAGTAGCCTGCTCCTGACGAAGACGCTGTTTAGCTTCTAGAGCGAGTTGACGAATTTGAGAAACAATAGCGTCTACGGGTTGTCCATTACTTGGTGAGCAAGTAAAGAAGAAATGTCCATCTCCTGTGGAGCAACGACGTCCAGCATCCACTCGAAGAACTCCTCCTACTGCCCCAAATCTATTGCAATATTATTAAAGCATTTATCGTCAGCGTTCATCTATGTCAGTACATATGCCTTCAACTACAGAAATGTGTATTTTTTATACTCTTGTTGGGAGTTAACTAGTGATTCTAGCATTTCCGTGGCCGCTTACATAATGCAGCGGCCATATTTGCACTAATGGCAGTGAATTTAAACAAGAAGGGTTTATTTTATTTGAAGTAACATATTTTATAAAATAACACTGTTTTTTTCTCTGAACTCTATTTTTTGGCATATATTTAATGTCTAAAAATAGTTAGACAGTGCATCTTAGTAAAATCATGTTCCATGCATTAAACTGTTAAAATTTCCGTGGTTAAACATGTCTATGACTAAGATGTGAAAAGTGTATTTTTAGCTGACCTGGTCTATTTATTATTCATATCACTATTGTAAAGATCTCAGTTCCAAAAAAATTTGGAGTGGCTTTGGCAAAACCTAGTTAGGGTGTAAGCTTGGCTGACTTATTAATAAAGTAGAAATCCTTTCAATATGAGACTTAAGAACATTTTTTGACATTTCACGTTGAAGTATTTCAGTACGCAATGCTACCTATGCTGTATTCCCGTGTTTTAATAACAGAACTTTGACTAATTTCAGCTGTTTGGCAAAGTCATAAAGGTCTCAAACTCTGAAGCAGCTTTTTGAATGTATCCAGCAGAGTGCGTTGAAAAAACAACAACCCCAGCCATTAAAATAGATTAATTCATCTGAAGATCCTAGACAAGAACCCACTGAGAAGCTCAAAATGTATACCCTTACACTTTGGATTACTGGAACCTATCCAACCCAATAACTCAAAGTTGAAACTCGGAAATAAACTTAGAAATCCTATTTTTAAAGGTTTCAATATATAGCTGAATCTCCTCTCTACTAAACTGCCCTGTTTCTTGCTGTGAAAGTTAAAAATGAAAATTTATTTCCCTCGCTACGTGCAATAATAACAATCTGGTTGCTGGCAAATCCTTACGGGAAAACCATCCCCAACGTCAAGCACTTTGAATGGAATGACCTTACGATATATGGCAGTGGTTCTTATTACAAATCAGGATTTTATTAACGACCAGCTGACCGCCGGTTGAATAAACGAGCGGCAGTTTAGTAGTATTAAATAAATTTTTCAGTATCAAGAATTTCCCCCCATTCATCTGAGCTTATTTAAAATAAGTAAAGATAGTTGCCTATTTTTTCATTAAAAATCAACAGACTCTCACGATAAGGAGAATTTTTACTTCTAAATCGTGTTTAAATTTAATAGACACGTTATTCTTTACTTCCTTCACTCCAAACAATTCATTTTTACTCAGGTTATTTGATTTTTTGCGTCACCAAGGCTTTCAATTCATTTGTTATTTAGTCCTAATGCTGAATATAGACTAGGCACTAAGACGTAGATTAGATAACAAATTGCGTGACTTCGGATTGGTGTTTGTTCAGGACGACAGTATCTGCTAACTGGGACGCTGTGGCCTCGCTGCTGTAGTAGGACAATGAGACCTAGGAGTTGGTTTTCCATTTCGTGATACTTTGATGTGAACTTTGAGCTGGCTAGCTATCGCACAGATATGAGGTCACGAAGCCTATAAAAAGGACAATTCGGCCAGTCATGAACAATCGGGCCTACTTCTCAAATTTTGTCCGATAGAGACCACCTCAGATAATGCTGAGGTTTGTCTTTTATTTCTGCATAAGAAATTGAGAAATCCACAATTGTAGACTATATTTTGGCGATCTTTTGGTAAATTACCAGCGAATTTTCAGCTGAACTGTGTATTTCCAGTAAAGAGAATGGCTTTCATCTTTTATCGATTTTTCACACAGGTGGCCGTAAATGCAATCGTGCAACTTCTGAAGCAATTACTTTACTAGGCAGCCAATAGTACCCTCATCTAAACGGGTATTTTAAAAATTATATGGTCTTTTTGAGCGACAGTCACTCTACCTACTTTTATGCAATCTAATCGTTTTAAGCGACCTCAGTACCTTTATTCCACCATTAGAAGCGTTTGCTATTAATAAAAGACCTTGGATTAATATGATAAACCATGGCAACTTGATGCGTTATTCACTAATGAGTTCCCATTAGTCTCCTATTTCACGCTTCCTATTAAGGGTTGAGCGGTTTTTTTACTTAAATAATTAATTACGTTCCTTTAAAATGCCTCATTTATGTCACGTGTGTCACTTAGGACCAATTCTAATTCATTTTATTGCAAACAATTGCACGCAATTTAAAGCCAATGGAAACTCGTGTTTCGAGGGAAAGTGTTTGAGAAAATTTTGCCAAACAGTCAAATTTTGTGGTGAAAAGGAAGGACCAATTAAGTGGATGGTGCAAGGAAATTATGGGACAAAATTCCCCCCAAAGTTATTTGTTTACATTAAAGGAAATTCAAACGGAGACTAAATAGCGTTTCGGAATAAACACGAGCCGCATATTATTATTAATAAATCTATCTTTACCATGGCAAATAATTCGAAAGTGATTTTGCTTTAGGCTGGCATTTTATAGAACACTCTCTTTATTTAATCAAAATAAGCATAACGAGAGATTAGAATTTTGGCAAGATAAGAGAGGCTTTAGGGATTATTGAATTGGTTCGAGGGGAATTAATTAAAGTTTCAAGAAAAAAATTATAAATTTGGATTAACGCACTACATGACTGGATTTCCCATTTAATCCAAATGCTAAGTAAAGTGAAATGAAGCTTTTGCCAAAGAAACTCTTGCAGAGGCCCAAAAATCGAAATTTTTGAACATCAGTTCCTATATCTTTGGGTAAAAATCGAACAATTTGGTGAATCCAGAATCTTTAAAAAGTTAGGTCATTTATGGCAATGCTTCATATATTTTCTACCTCTCTCCACACCTATTTTCCCATGTATAATAGTAATAATAAACAGAATCGATTGGTCAAAAGAAAATTTCTGAATTTGCAAAAGTAAAACTTTGACTAGGAGAGTACTGATTTTTCATAGCACAAAAAGGGGGTTCTAAAAGTATGTCAGGTAGGAATTTGATGTAATCTGAATAGAACTCTGTGCCGAAGTATAAATGGCAGGTTGATAAAAGAAATGTAACCTTCCAATGCCAGATTTGTGGTTTTTTAAGACATAAGAAGTTTGAATAGACCAAGAGACCAACGAGATAAATAGATTCGGTCTGAGAAAAGAGTGTTTTGCATTAGCTCTGCATAGCTTGATGTTCATAATCTATAAAATCTCCTTGAAGTAGGCTTATTTACCTATAATTTTCCTTGAAAATCTTTCAGCTGTTTACCAAAATTACGTATCAACATGAAAGTCCACCACACCCCTGTAGTTCTCTTACAACAAATACACTACGAAGAGTAAGTACAATTTTGAGAAGTATATGCGCTCTTAAAAAGTGCGTTATAATAACCCGTTGCATGCTTGCTGTTGCTTGATTTTGATTTGCGCCAAATTACTGCAAAAATATATGTGCTTTAGAGGCTACTCCTAACACGCAAAACTCAAAAGCACGCCAATACTTCCCAGTTTGATTGGTCGAAGTGCTTGGTAAAGAAGCACCAACCAACCTGAATGCTCATACATGAGCCCAACAGTAAAATTTTGGCAATGCCTTATTTCATTTACTCTGAAAAAAACACTAGCTATTCCGTGGGAAAGTACATGCTGGTCCATTGTCTTCATCTGCAAAGTTAAAAATAATGGGATGCGAATATTATTTAGAAATTTCGTGAAATCCAAGGCAGCAATGGTACTTAAGTGAGGTCTAATGAAAAGAAAGGCTAAACTTAAATGCGTAATTATTATTTCTCCTGGTTGTGTATAATTAAAACAGAATTAGTAATCTTGAAAGTAAACAAGTCCTCGCTCATGTAATGCTGACGTGCTGACCTTCAGATCTGTGACGCTTTTTATGGCAGCGAAATTGAGTGGCAGAGTACTTACCTCAGCCTGACCTTAAAAGTCGATCGATCAACCACCCCACAACCACCAGTCGACTTCTTTTTACTCTTTTCAATCACAGTTTAATTTCTCTGTTGCTCGTTTATCAATTAAAATATAAGCAATTATATGCCGATCTTTAAAATCTATTCCAAAAACTTAATACCTATTTTAAAATTTTATTTCTGTATCAATAAAAACATGCATAAAATAATATGTTTTTCTAAGCACTGCTTTAAAGATTAAATGAAATTTTATGGTATTGATTTTATTTTCTTAATTCTACCAATGCATAATATTGAGGGCCGTATAGATGGGAAAATATGACGAACTTTTCCCATTAAGTGAAATCGAACTGACCTTAGAGTTATGTTACAAAGAAGTACCTCTTGTGAGTCAAATGGATATTTTTCTCTCATCCATATATGCATGTATAAATGCCGTTCAACAAATTGAAAACTACTTTTGTAAACGGAAAGTGATTTAAAAGTACATGTTCTAATGTGGCCGCTTATCTCAAGGCTACAGGAATCAAGAAGAGCTTGAACCAATGGGGATTTAAAGCTCGTACGAATGAAGCTAACTGACGACGACGAGTTGTATAATTCTAGAGTTATCTTATCAAAAGACGATAACTTCTGACATCAATCCGAACTCAAACCGGGTATCAGACGATAGTATTTAATATTTTGAATACAGTATGAAAACTGACATTTATAAATAGGTGTTTTAATTCAATAAGGAGTTAACCAGCACCATATAATTTTTCTTATTTCCCTCAATGCTTCGGACCCTTCTGCCACCAAGAAACTTGTGATTACATTTAGTTTTTGGCGTGGAAAAAAAGTAATCACTGTTTACCGGTGAATGTAGAACTTAAATTAGAGTGAACTTCTGGCCATTCCTGTTTAATTGCACGCCATAAAGTCAGTACTAAGTAAATCTTCAATAACGCCTTAAAAACTTAATTCCGTAAGATTCAAATCAACGCGTTTAATTTCATGCCTTAAATTGATTATTATTGCATTCAAACGGGTGAAAGAGAGATTCGACTTGTTATCACATCGTAAACTGGTTATGACATAACCATCTAGGTTGAGGCGGTAGAGGAATTAGCGGGGTGAGTCATTCTCGGCACCAAAATTCAACTCTTGCCCTCTCTCCCTCCCTCTCTCTCGCTCTCTCTCTTTCATTCCCCAACAGGCAGCAATATAGAAAAGAAATGAGACCACGCCTACCTCTTCGCCGGTGTAGTAGTAGTAGCAATAGGAAATTATTGCGACATGCCTCTGCTCACTCTCAATCCGCATTTGGTAGTGGTGGTCACAAACGACCTTTTCTCCTCACAAACTACTGAAAACATCTCCTTCACAGCTAATTAATCTCTTTTAATCGACTGATGTCCTTCTCGCAGTGTTGGATTTAATCAATACTGCCAAGACTATAATGAAGCCGCTTACACTCGTTTAAGTCTATGAATACGATTAACTAATGTAAATAGAATTTGTGTCTTAAACCATATTTGTTGCACTTTGAAGTTAGGGCAAATTAGTAAAGTGTAAGGTTGGGAGAAGTGTGGTGGCATAAAGTGATCGAGATTGACGTGATGTTGTTTTTTTCCACCTAAGTCTATTTAGTAAACTAAGCTAAATATTGCTCAAATGCACAAAAGTACATTATTCCGCATCCTCAAAGCTCCCTAGATAGTAATAAGTACTAAATGAGGCCATATTTTTATTGTAAAAGTGGGAAGTAGTGGT